TTGTCTTAAACTGTTTGAGATGATTTGAACTTTGTGACGTGGCACCGGCAGTATAATGTAAAGATCAGTACACTGTGGGCATAAAGAAATGAATATTGTTAGTAACAATACTCAGCTAGGCTGTGATGTTTAAAAGATAGTCAGTTGGTAATAAGGGGCCCGAAGTGTTCCAAAAAACAACTGCATTAACAATAAGTTGCATGTGTAACAGTGCATTATATTTTAAACTCTGATTGTGTTATAAACACAAACACATATAAATGACCAGAATTTCTGCAGCCGTTTCACTAATGATCTTTCATTTCACAAACAAAATAAAAAACAATGCAAACTGTAAATAAATACTATTTATTGAAAATATTGCATGTCGTCAATCAAAAACAAAGACTTGTTTTCGTTTAATCAACAACATAAACGTGAGCTTGACCACTCAGACTTCAGCCCTCATCAAAATTGGAATAAAAATCAAGTACAAGTCTCCTTCCAGTTTCGTTTGAGGTCTGATTAATTAGCAGATAATTAATTCCAATGCCAGGGAAGGCGATTGCTAGCATTTGTTTACGCATGCATACTTAAAAACTCAATAAAAGCACAGCCTGTTTTTGAAAGGTCCATTGCACTCTGCTGAGCTTTATTATTACACTGAAAAACAAACAAACAAAAGAAGTAAAACATCAATGTCCTCAACACCTGGGATTACACTGCTCTGCACTGAAATATCCCACACACTTACTGTATCTTGGTCCAATGTGTTGTATGTAGTAACACTCGTGGTGAAAGTAAGTCAGTGAAAGCAGAAAAAAGGGTTTAAAGTTTAAACAAAAGTCATAGTAGATGCATTAAAAATAACTGGCATTTGATACGCACTGATTTTACTCTAAATACATGTGGCACGTAGTATTGCTTTAACCCTAACTGTCACTATAATGCCATGTTTTTAACAAATTCATGTTCTATCTGGTAAAATGAGTGATTATATCTGCAATCTTATTTGCAGGTCAACTGCAAAATGCATGCAAGTAATGATGCATTTGTATGTACAACTAAAGTGTTACTTTGTAGTTTTGAGAAAAATTTAGATATATTTATGAATTAAAGGTATATATGCATTAGTGTAGTGCACAAAAGTTCAAAGACTTTAAAGATGAACAGGCCGATACAGCTGCATAAATTTTGAGCCAACAGTGCATCAGGAGTCTGCCACGATTCGCTGATTATCAACAGACAGGAATGCCCTTAAAATTCATTATCTTTATTTTGCTTCATCCACTTTTTATTCCTGATTCATATCTTTCACATTTGTGTATTAATTGTTGACTGATTGAAAAATAAATGCTTAGTGTCTGCTTGTCAGCCAGTCGATAGGTAGCCCCTTAACTGGCTCAGAATTTACTTTCACCACTGAGTGCAACTGACAGCATGGCTTCTGTTTGAGAAACGTGAATGGCACAAAGAAGAATTTAACAGTATTTTCATACATAATTCTTCATTGAACAAGCTTCCCGTTAAACTATTTTTTAATACTCAGATCGACCCATGTCCGGCCTCTCTCCACCTGTGGTCCAGCACTCAAATGAGCTGCTGGCACTTTCAGCCTCATCAGATACCGAGTTTGTTGGCTTGCGTCAGCACCACCTTGAGTACAGGCATGAACGCTGAAGTCTCGCTGAAGTTGCTGTTGCTCACTATGTGGGTGTGGATGTTGAGGCCCTCTGTGTAGGATCGGGACTCTATGCTCCTGGCTATGTTGTGCAGTCCTCCTACAATGGCAGGGGAGAGCTGCACAGAGGAACAGCAGAGTTACGTCAGTAGAATGGCCAACTATAGCAAATCAATGCAAAACACCAATTGGGAAACAGTCATTATAAGGCAGTTGATGGCATGAATTTTTGACTGAGACTACATTTTATAATATGTTTATTTCTTTAAACATGAAACACCTCTTTTTAGAAGGAGCTTCTCATGTGAAAATCTGCTGAGTTGTTTAAACTCCGGAGGTCAAATTTCTTCATGTTTTGACTATTGGGCAAAACATCAGAATTTACTTTCACCACTAAGTGGTTCTCATTATCTTTCTAGTCTGCTTAGAGACAATGTGCACATTGTAAATTCACAGCATATCAAGGCACTTGCAGATGTGTGCATGGAGTATCACACTAACCTTATGATGACTAAATTAAAATACAGAAAATGATTTTAGGCTGTGAGAAATTTTTCACTATTTTCTTTACATTTTACAGATCAAACAACCATTTCACACTCTTGTTAAAGGCAAGATTCACTGTTGACCTCTGCAGTGGTGTGCTGGATACTCACTGTCTGCTCTCTGAGTTTGTCATAGAGTGCCTCCAAACGTTTGTTCGCGTCATCAAGCTTCCTCTTAGTTTGCTGTGAAAAGATCAAAGAACACTCAGTTACTCATCTAAGGGCTCACTTTGTTGAACTGCACTGTTAATTTCATTACATAGACTCACAGGGTCAGTAGCTACAGCCAAGCATTTCTGGATCAGCCCCTCGAATGTAGTCTTTAGGACGAGGTGCTCGTCAGGTATGGGTTTCTTCATGATCTTCTCAGCAGGGATGGACTGCAGAGGCTGAAGGGTAAAGTAAGAGGCGTGTCAACTAGTATTTACCAAAAATATAAAAATGTGAATCATTTATCATTAAAAGAATAAATTTCAAAAACTTATTCACAAAAATGATTTAATATGAAGGCAACAGGCAGAGTGTTACAGGCATCGCCCTAAAGAATGTAGCCTCATGGGCAGTGTAGTCCATGCTGCAGGGAGAATGGACTGCCATGCCCGTTATGTGTCTGTGAGCGCGAGTGAGGGAGAAAAAGAGTCGAAAAGTAAGAGATGTCACCCACCAGAAACGGGAGATAGAAGCATGTAAATATATAATATATGTATAGAAAGTTGACCCAGACAAGAAAGTAAAGCTAGTTTTCGGCTACGAGCCCGACACGGAGCCCGACGTATTAGCCAGAGGTCCCTTTACCTGTCTTATATACGCGCGGAAGATCGCTGAAAAAAGTGCAGCCTTACCTAATGTCCACCCTACTGTTACTCATTTTATATTAAGATTTAAAAATCTAGTTGCTATTGGTATGGCGAGTAACCTTCAGTAAAAGTAATAATTCACACAACAATAGTACATTCATGTAGTTGTAAAAAGCATGATAATATATTAAGTAATCCAAAGTATTCAGAATACGTTAGAAAATACATTTTGGGGCATGTATAATGTAATACAGTTGATTCTAAGGTATGTCTATTGGGGCAATGAAAATCTGGTAAGAAGCAGCAGTGCTAGACAATTAAAAACAAACACACAGATATATCATTTCCTCCAGACAACCATCTGCAGTATATCATATACAATCTATGGTTTAACATTTAGTTAAACCTGAGAGTTATTTACTTGGATCACATCTCCAGTTGGTGCACCTGGTGCACCCTCCATGCTGGTCTTTGGCATTGCAGGGTTCATAGGTGGAGGGGAGAGCTGCTGCTGCTGCATGCCTGAGTAGGGGACCTGGACACCGGGTTGGCCCTGCATCATGGCCGAAGGAGCCCCAGAGGACATTGGCTGTGCCTGAGGGTCAGTGCCCAGCGGGGTCATTATGGGAGCAGTGATGGGGATAGGAGGGTTGTAGCTCTGTGGAACCTGCTGAATAGAAGTAAGCACAGTTTGTTTAAACTCTGTCATGGCTGTCTGTCTGTAACTTAAACACAGACATAGATGTAAACTTTACAGATGTGGAATTCCTTACTGTCCAGAAATCCATCTTCAATTCTCAAACTGTTCTAGTAGTTAGCTAGCCAAATGTTGTACCCACGCCATGTTTAAAGTATAATTATTTTGCAGTTGTTGCAGTTTTATAATTAGAAATGACAGCATCGCACATATTTCATACTTTCACTGTCCTACTTGTGTAAATGCAAATACAGATCAGCACGTGTGAGCTTGTTCATCAGCAGCTAATGCTGCCTAAATGATATAAAAACTCTGCCTGTCTTATTGTTGTTTTGGACAAAGCAAATTCAGCACACACACAGTTTGTACTATTATCCATAATGAACTCTAAAGAAGCTTGGCATAAGCCAGAAAAGAGGGAGTTCAAAGGAAAAGTTGCCTCTTTTGAAATGTGTTGGTTTCATTCAAATGATTTCTTTGACAAAGACTCCTTTTCTGTTACTGACTTTACTTCAGTACTGGGTCTGTTGTCATAGCAATAATTCTCCATACAAGGCCAGTCGTCATAGGTAAAATAAATAATGAATCTTATTATGTATTAACAGAAAATATAGAGCCAAACAATACAATGATAGCACATACTTCAAAATAGCTAATTGTCAAAGATCTTTTATGTGTTAAAACATATATACACACACACACACACACACACACACACACACACACACACACACACACACACACACACACACACACACA